CATAGCAGCCGTGCAGGTGTGCTGCTGCTGTGGGGCTGGGCTGGGAGTGTCCCAGGCTGCAGTACGGACGAAACTTGTTGATACGGAGCAAGGATAAGTGGAAAGGGAGAGGGGCAAGCGGGGGACCAGAGGCTGCATTGGGTGTGGGGGGGTAGGCAGAAGAGGCTGTAGAGGGGAGATGGCAGGGTGCAAAGAAGACAGGGGGTGGCAGGCTGCAGCTGCAGCTATGACCCCGATCACAGCCCAAACCACAACAGCCACCAGAACCATACCACCCTTGCACTTGATTAAAAAATGAGGGGCTTCCCCCAGTGTTAAATGGGGAGGAGGGTTGTCTTAGTATCAAGTAAATATGATAATGATATTGCAGCTTTGAGTTTTTTGTTTCTGCATTCTCTGGATTATTACAATTTTCAGCAGAATCGTGAAATGTATTTAACAATGTGTCAGACCTTACAGGACATGATAGTGAGAGAGAGTAAAATAGCCTAGAGTACATGCTACTGTCCCCATACAGACACTAGGTTACTCTTCGCATGTGGAATATAGTATATTCTGGCTTTTATAACTTGTTTTGTATCTTTTAAGTGTTCTGTGTTGTCATCATAAGAGCCTGGCTTGTTTTGTGCAATCTGCTCCTGTCATGATCTGCATGTGATGCTGTTTTATATTGAAAGAAGCTAGCTGGATCCAGTGATGCATAGAAAATTATACTATGTGTATGTGATGATAAAGAAGGACATAAAGAGGCCACAGGCACTATGGGCACTTTTCCATGTACCCCAGAGGTGAGAGGTGGCACTTTTGAATTACAGCAGCTCTGAGAGCTGCTCTAATTAAAGTGCTGCAGCATCTCGTATATCAGCATCCCCATGCATAGTGGTGGTCATTCAATGATCTTTAGTTCAAGTGCTCCTGCTGCCATTTTTAAGCATGCTGGTACACAAGATGCAGGAGGCTGCTGGAGCGTGATAATTACCATGTTCCAGCAGACTCAATTAATCAAGTCTGCTCTGATGCTCTATAAGTACAGCGCATCAGAGCAGCCTCCCTGCTTGTGTACAGGTACCCTATAGGATTAAAGATAAGGTATTATAGTTCCATGGTCACAGATTATACAGCGTACTTGTGAATAAGGTTGTGTGATTTTTCTTAGAACGTTGCTACAGGGACAGAGTCCAGGTAATTTTGCCACCTCTAGTTAAGAATTTTAACCTGAAAGGTAAGTCTACTTCTGGATTCTAAATTGTGGGTTTTTTTCATACTAATTTAGTTTTAATGCAATAGTAAACGATATAGCAAGTAGGACATGGGTTTTGTTAGTCAGTGGGCACATCTACATGAGACCTACTGTCCAGTAGCCTGATACTATTGTGCAGTAGTGTTGCGTGGCAAAAACAGTGAAGTGTCAGTACTGCACGGTAGCATCACAAAAACAGCGTTTGGCACTAACAGGTTACTGTGCATTCATGTAGTACTTGCTTAGCGTTTATACAGGTGCTAAATAAATGCACAGTAACCATTGCATAGAAGTGTCTCGTGTAGATGCAGCCAGTTTAATTAACAATAGATGTGTGTATCCCAGAACATGTTTCCATGTTCCTTACTGTAGAATATATGTAAATAAATTGATGCATTTTTAAACAAATTAAGTGTAGGCATAGGAGAAGCAGAGACTTGAGAACCCAAACTCCAGTGGTGGAGTTGCACTCAGCCTACTGAAACCTGCCAGCAGCTTTTAATTTCACCTTAATGAGTTGCTCTGTGGACAGACTCTAAAGGCCAGATCCTATTCCACCCTGCTCGAGTCCCTGAAAATCCACTAACGCATCTGCTATTCTACCCTGCTGACATATTAAACTTACAACTAAGTCACAAAAAAGCAGCATTGAGGAAGAGGACCCACCTGCCTTTTCTATTAACAGTTTTTCAGGGGCTTGAGCAAGGTAGATGAGGCTCTTGAGTGCATTTGATGACTGATAAATGAAGTAGGACCTGGTTTCAAGTATGATTTCAACATTTGATTCACTTTCTTTAGCTAAAACATGTGAGTGATTGATTTATTTTATGATAGTCTTGAACTACAATTAATCCCTCCTGTATTTTACATTCAGAATGAAGCTCGTATACTAATATTTTACTCGGCCAGTGCCAGGCTTGAGCCCTGGCATAATTTATTTTTCCTGCCACTTTAACAATTGTATGTTCTTAGTCCAATTCAGTTTTAAATACTAGATCAGCCATGTGCATGTATGCAGTAAAGCTATGGAATGGTAGCTGCTAAATGTCTGAGTTTAAAAATTTAATTTTCTTTTAAAGAAATGGACCTGCCCAATTTAATAATCTATTCACTGCTGGTCATTTTAAACTCTACTTTTTTTTTTCTCTAAGAAATGAACCTGGCATCACTAAAAAATAAGTATTCAGTTCATCAGATCCATAATAGTATTTCTTCATGGAGAAGCCAGAGGGGTTAATTACCTTAGTCTCATGAGATAAGTGAAATATTTCCTGGTATCCTGGATTATTTGTTTGTAGATCTCAAGGGAACAACAAGTTATCGAAGCAGCAATTTAACAAATATAGATAACAACAGCCTTCCTCACTCCCATTGGTGCTTTAAAAAAAATGCTGGAAGATAATAGTTATCTTTACAAGTCTTCAGTTTCTCATTGTATGCCTTGCCTCTTCAAAACAAACAATATATATGGCTATGCAATTCTGTGGAAATTAGAATTCATTTCCTTTGTGAATGTTTAAAAAGAAGGAAAAAGCTATAGGGTACATCTAGGTACAAAGTATTCTCAACTCCTACCAACTTCACTGAATTCAGAACTGTGTCCAGTCATTTAATCCTGAATCCTTGTGTAATTGGTTTCCAACATAAATTTGTAATGAATTTATGGCACCTCAGTCAGCAGAAGGCTGAACACTTTTATGTCAATGGTTCAAAATGTTTCCTGACCGCTCGTGTAAACTGTGAATGACTATTATGTACAATAAAATCCTGGCAGTTTCCTGGATTAGACTGATTAGTGTTGTTTAGATAACATAGAACTTGAATAACTTCCTCTCAGGAAACACTGAAACTGAAACCTGTAGCCTGCATGCTTGTACTGAACACATTGTGCATACTTGCTCCCAAAGACCCACAAGCACCTTTACAAACATGGACAAATTGCAGATTTTCTTTCAAGGGGAATAGCAATTACTGAAAGCATCTCTCACTTATTTAACAGATAGAGATGACAAAAATTGGTTAGGAAGTTGTTTTCGTGATTTTTATATAGCAGCTATTTGCCAGATTTCAGAATTTGGAATTTAAAACTTTACTGTGCACATGAACTGGGACTTTTGGTAAGGAAAAGCTATTTTTGCATAGCTTAAAAATGTGAAATCCCTGCTTAGTTTACCTGCTACTGAGAACCTGCTACATAGTGCAGATGTCTGTAATAGGCTTGTGGTATTTGCTTAAAACACCTTACTTTGTGAATAGGTGTTTTTGATCCTGGAAGCTCTGTTACCTCATTGAAGGGAAGGTGTTTTGTTACACTAGCTAGACATAAGGGAGATGGAATGGCTATCTAAAATAGATGCTAGTGTGTGAATTCAGTGGTTTTATGGGAATGACTTTAGGAGCATTCAGTCCTTTGGCATCCTTCCCCCTCCCCCCCTTTTAAGTACAATTTCTGTAGTAAGAAATAACCAATATGCCTATACCGGTGTTATCTAATCCTTCCCCTCCCCTTTTCAGAAGGGGCTGAGCGGGGGTTATATTTACTTCCTGATGACAAGGGAGAGGAGCAATAAGAGGGTATTTTTTGATTCCTAAAGAGGGAACCTGGTGGGAATGGATAAACTTTGCCCCTTCTGTATTCAAGATGTTGTAGATAAATGTCAGAAAGCAGCAGAAGCAAGAGAGCTGGGTGGCTGAATATCTAGGAGGAACAGCACTGCTCAAATATAGTCTACAGTTTTCAGATTGTTGCTGTTGAATTTGGTGGAATATTGTTTCTTTCCTATAAATTACTCGCATGTATTTCCATTCTTTTTGCAAGTCAAGTAAGTTCTAGGGGCATGTGTAGATGAAACAACGGGCATGAGTGCACAACACTTTAAAGCAGGTTAAATGCTTTTGTACCACTTTAATGGTGTTGGTGTTTGCATGCGTTGGCGGCGTATTGCGCATTACTTCCAGCCACTGTGGCACATTTGGCAGCGTAATGCGCCTTAAATGTCTTCGGGGCGCAGCAAACTAAAACACCTCCGAGGAGTTTGTTTGCTGCCCTATATCTGCGGAGCAAAGCACTAGGCTCTGTGCGGCTCAGGGACTGTGCAGGCAGCCTGGCAGCAGCCCAGGAAAACAGGCTCCACCAAAGGAGGGGAAAAAATCCAAAAAGCAGAGAGCCTGATCTTTTTTTTTTTTTTTTTTTTTCCCTTGGGCGCCTGCCTGTCTGCATGAGCTGCATGGGGACCTGGTCCTTCCCTCTGTGGCTGCGGTGCCCCGCAGGACCACCCAAACTGGGTGCCTGCGGGGGAGGGGGTGTGCTGCTGCTGCGCAGGGAAGCACCAGCCCCCCCTGCAGCCCAGGGACCGCTCCACTCACTGGCAGTTTGCCCTCCCCTCCCCACTGCCAGAGACGCACGTGCAAGACAGGTGTACACGGTATTGGGGGTTTACTTTGCCCTAAATTGAAGCAGTGTTTTAAAAACCCACTTCTTCAATTTAGGGCCCCTGTTTCGTCTACACACACCCTAAATGACTACTTTCTTACCGTCTTGCTTGAGATAATGTGTTGTCCCTGCTAGAAATGTAACTTAAGTTTTCATGCTAAATCACTTGTATTTGCTTTGTGAAGATATTCAAACAAAAGTAGCTTATACTGTTTTCTTAAATATTATTTTCCATCTCACTATCTAATCCAGCCTAACTATATTTGATATGAATTGAGGTGTTATCTTCTCTGCATAAAAAATATACTTCTGTATTACTATTTGCAGGTGGCTTCAGGTGAATGCAATGAAGACACAGAAGTTTACAACATTACACTCAGTACTGGGGATGAGCTCACTTTAATGGGACAAGCAGAAATCCTGTATGCAAAATCTTCTAAGGAAAAGTCACGACTCAACACCATCTTCAAGAAAATTGGGAAACTTAATTCTATCAGTAAGCTAGGCAGAGGTAAAATGCCATGCCTCATTTGCATGAACCATAGGACCAATGAAAGTATAAGCCTTCCTTTCCAGTGTAAGGGCAGGTTTAGCACCCGCAGTCCACTGGAGTTACAGATGCAAGAGGGTGAGCACACAATTCGCAATATAGTAGAAAAAACAAGGTTGCCAGTCAATGTAACTGTGCCAAGCCCCACACCAAGAAACCCGTATGACCTGCATTTTATCCGTGAGGGCCATAGGTACAAATTCGTCAACATTCAAACAAAGACTGTTGTAGTTTGTTGTGTTCTGCGTGGTAACAAAGTTATTCCAATGCATTTTCCCTTGCATTTGACTCTTCCAAAATTCGTGCTCCCGGACAGTCTTGTGAAAGGGGAGCTATGGCATGATACCCTGGTCCAACATTGGTTTAACATCTGCCAGGAACAGTTTGATATAGATGAATATTCCCGTGCAGTGCGAGATGTGAAAACTGACTGGAATGAAGATTGTAAGAGTCCTAAAAAAAGTCGGTGCACTGGGCACAATCATGTGCCAAATTCTTTGAGCTATGCCCGGGATGAACTAACACAGTCTTTTCACCGGCTCTCCGTTTGTGTTTACGGAAACAATTTGCATGGAAATAGTGAAGTGAACCTTCATGGGTGTAGGGACTTGTGCAATGAATGGGCCCTCTTTTCTCATGACACCCTTCAGTATCAGGACTCTGGTGACAGTAGCAGTGACTATCTTTTTCCTGAAGTTACTGAAGAGTCCATGTGTCTGCCTGCAAAACCAGAACTTCCTTATGAAGAACTGTGGCTGGACCAGGGATCGGGGAAACCTTGTGATCAGCCTCTTACTCGTTCGCTAAGTGAGAAGAACAAATGTGACAATTACAGAAGCTCTTTTCGGTCAAAATGTGGTAATGCATCTCTTCCTATGCCTGGAACTCTAGCAGCAACAACAAAAAAGTCTTCAGATGTTTCCCTACCTCCACCTCCAGTGCCTCCCAAATCAGAAGCAGTAAGTCAGTGTTAATTGTCTCTTTATTTATCTTTAATTGAGGGAAGATGCACTTTGGCACCACGAGAGAAGACTTATTCTTGGGATGGGGAGAAATGGTCTCTCATAAGTAACCTAATTCCTGCCAAGTGAAAGTTATCAAAGGATTGTATTTAAAACAAATCAATTAGTATTTTAAACTTATGGCTTTCTATTTCTTATGTTCTCTTCCCACAAATAAGATTTCTTAAATTATAGATGATCCTTCACTTTTCCCATTATGCCTTGCTTTGAATGCTGCTTATTTTGCTCAAGCTTTTTGTGGCTGAACTGCATTGGATGTGAATCCATTCAGAATCCTTCAGTGTCATTCTTGATTTAACCACAGAGATTGCTGCACGGGGGTACTTCTGAAATTTTCTGTATGTATCTTATAGTTTCATAGTTTCATCTTCCCTTAATAGTTCCTGGTAGTGTACAATTTACTTTGTGCACAATGTACCCATGTGTAAGAAAAGCTTCTAGAGAGATTTTCTACTTCATTATGAGCCTTTGACTGTAATTTGCAATGTACTGAATGGTATGTTCAGTCCCAAGTCTCTATTAAATGAAAGTCAACCTGAGGAGTACTGGGCAAGTAATTTAGGAAAGCAGTAGGAGTAGTTTATTTACAGCTTTTTTCCAGAACAATACAATAAAATGAATATTAATATATATATGTTATTTTATTACATATATAATAATTTATCATAGTTGCTGAAAAAGTATGGTAAGATCATCCATTTAACCAGTTTACAGTAAGTTAAAACAGAACATGGTGTATAGTGATATAAAAGAAAAGATGAAATGAAGCAGTAGATAATAAGACAAAGAAGAGGAATTCCATTTGATTGTGGCCCCTATTCTTTGTGAAAGTAATGCAGGTACGTGTAAGGAGTTTATGGCAGGCTCTGAGTTGTTAAAGAAGCAAGATTTGTTTTTTCTTGTTTAGCCCAGTATTTACGATTTCTTATTACTAGAGACAACCATTTTCCTCATTTCTTCAAGGAATAAACAAAACCACAAATAGTGATTTTTTTTTTTGATTTTTTTTTTTTAAAGTCACCTATCATTCTTGCTGCAAGAACATGCTCTGTCCAAATATAGGATCCAGTAGCACCTGCCCATGACAGTTTTAGATCTCATTAGAGTGAATCTTAAATCTAGTAATGGCAACTTGTATTTTGTACCACGGACAGGTAGGTTCCTAGGCCAAAGGAGTGCTTTATTAATCTTGCAAAAGGGGTAGTTCGAGATGGTCTTGCTGCAGCAAATCTCTGCATGCTCGCATCTTTAATTCTTAAATTTTGTTTTGTTGGATCAGTGACTCTTAGTAGATGTCCCAGGCCAATTGTCTACAGTCTAAATAAAATACCTTAGACTAGCGTTTCTTAACCCATGAGTCGCAACACAAAAGTGGGTCACAAGAATATATGAAAGCGTTGTGAACAAACATTAAAAAGGGAAGGAGAAAAATATGGGAAACTGGCTTTTCCCTTACAGGCTGGCAGAGTTTCAGCCTGCAAGGGGCTGCTTGGTGTTCCTCCTGCCCTACACACTGCGGGGCTGGGGGCGGGAGACACTGGGTTGAGAGTGAGGGGCACTGTGTTGGACTGGCCTTTGTTACAAATGGGTCCCAGTATAAAAAAGGTTGAGAAGCATTACCTTAGACGTATAGGCCTTGAGTCCTGCCAGAACAACCCTTCTCCCTGTTTCATTTTAGAAAGATAAAACTCCTTCCAAGGGTTGTTTTGCTGTAGTGTTTACACTTTCAGTGTGCTTATTCCAGCTTGATTTGGGAGGGGACAGAACATTGATTTATGTGCATATGTAGGTGTATAAAAGCTTCAAAATGGGAGCACTGATAAAGCGTTGGAGTGCATCTGAGGCATGTTGTGTTGCAACCTCGCCAGTAATTAGAGACCCAGACAAGCTCAAGAAGAATGCCAGGAACAGTGACTTGTGCCTGTAATCTAAGCTTCAGAGGCTGAGGCTGGTGGATTTCTTGAACTCAGGAGTTCTGGGCTGCAGTGTGCCATGCCGAGCAGGTGTCTGCACTTGTGTCAGCACCATCTGTGGGGTCTCCGTGGGAGTTTGGAGTCACCAGGTTGCTTAAAAGTGGGAAAGACAAGTCAAAAAGACTTAATCTTTTAGATATGTTTTCCTAACTTGTTTATTAGTCATGCTTCTAAAATAGCTGGACGATTAACTCCCAAGTGTACAATAACAGATTGGTTCGGAGGGAGCCGGGGGTGAACAGGAAGAGTCTGGTGTCCCAGCTCAAACTGGTTTTATATTTTTTTTAGGCAGGGCAGGCTATTTATTAGAAACAGCTTGCATTTCGATTAGGAGACCTGCAGGGTTATTGACTCCTAAGCCTCAATAAGAGCCTTTTTTCATATTCAGACCATATCCTGTGTGTTTCCTACTGTAAACTCTGTAGGAATTATCCCCTTCCTAATGTTACACTGAAACCTTAAGGCTGCAGGGAGGTGAGGCTTACTGATAAACTGGCTCTTAAGGGCTCCCTCAACCTCCTTTGATAGGTTTAGACACCAGTTATAGTCATGCATGGTCTTAAGTACCACCTTTAAAAACAAATAAATACATCACCAAAAAATCCAGCGCCCCAGCTCTGATTGGCATACGCAAGTGTTACATTATCAAAAGTGGGTTCAATGACAATACTGGAGAAAGTACAAGCAGAGCACTCAAATCTGTTTTGTGGCTTAGTGGAACAGCTTTAGGATGAATATTGGCAACCTACCTGACTTCATCAGTGAGCTAGGATTGAAAAGATATTTGTTTGGTTTCTGTGTGGAATATTTATAGTGTAAGTGGAGTTCAGTACCTGGTAACAAACAAGGTTTTGTAATTGCTCTCTAAAATAATATTCCATAGTATGTCTCTAGAACTTGGCTGCTGCTTCTGTTTCTGCATGTCAAAATTTAAAATGCACATAAAGGAAAAATTCTGATTTGTGAGGAAAAGGCATTTAATGATTTTAGAAGCTTGAATATTTTTGTTCAGATCAACAGATTCCATAGTATTTTCATCTGATAAGCACCTATTAAAGCAAGGCCCTTAAAATAGGAAGTCCTTTCAGTCTTTAAGAAAACTAAGCCTGAATGATGTTTTAATTTTTTCTTTTAAGCATGTCCATTATATACTGGAAGATTGAAATTCGTATAAGCAGCAAATCTTGAAATGTGGATTTTTTTGTGGGGGGGAGGAGGGGTTGTTTATAAATGGAGGTACCTTAGGTAGAAGCATTTTTTTCTGTCTTTGGAACAGGGATGGTAGGATGCATTTTGTCATAGAAACATTTTTTTTCAAAATGCCCTGAATAACTTGGGCAGTTCTGAAAAAAATTAAGCCACATGAATTGGCGTGAGTTTAGACCATGGTCTTGCAGTTGCATTTGTGAATATACCTTCTTCGTATGAGGTTTCCCCCAGTGTGAATGTAACCTACTGCAGGACTAGGGCTTTGGCAGAAGCCAGAGTACATTAGGGCAATTCATATCTTGATGTCTGGAAAGGTGTCCGAGAGCCACTTTAATTAAAGTGCCTGGAGCATCTTGTGTATAAGCATCCCCAAAATGGCAGCAGAGGCACTTTGTCTAAAACTTGTTGAATGAGCTTAGTTAAAGCGTCATGTTGCCATTTTGAAGTGCGGAGACAGTGATACATGAGACACAGGGGCTGGCTAGATCACAGTAATTACCACGCTCCAGCAGACTCAATTAATTGAGACTGCTCCGCCATGCTGTAATTATGGCTCATGAACAGGCACCCCAAGTGATTTACAGCAATAGTTTTCAAACTGTTCCACAGCATGCTGGGGGTCCTCTATAGCCCCCCCGCCCCCCCAAAAAATGACTGGAAGTAATGGCAGAGCAGGCCTGGAGGCGATGTGCCACCATTGCCACCAGGCTGGGTTGCTTGGCTGCGCATCAGCTTGTGGGATGTGGGTAGTGGTTCTGCAACTGCAGAAGTGATGTGGAAGGGTTCAGTGACTTTAGGAAGCTTGAAAACCACTGGTGTACAGCATAAGACCCTTTCAAGCTAAAGAAACCAAAATTGATGAAGAGTGGGATTTTCCAGGGCTCTTCAAGGGCTGAAGAAACAAACATTTTTTGTCTAATCTCAGCAAAACAAGCATAGGGACTAGATAGTTTGGATAGTTCTAGTGTAACCAACTAAAAGAGAACCCATTTAATAATGAAAGAGTAACTAAGGAGATAGTTCCCTGTACCTTGGTTCCCATAGACCCTGACACGAACTCTTTCCCTTCCTCGTCCATCCCAAACTCTGTTTATGAGACATGAGGATTTATCACTGGCTTGAGCCAAACCTGATAAGGACAAAATTCCCCATTGGCTCAGCTCTATTTCATAACATTTGAACCATTGCCTGTATGGCACAGGTAGGTAGCTCAGCTCAGGGATCAGTATAGCACAACTGGGTGTGGGAATCTGTGTGGGGCATTGTGCATTATGCCATGTAGACATACCTTCAGTTCATACTGATCTTATACTGGTTTTCTTAAAATCTGAGTCTGCTCAATGTGTGGACCAACTGACAAAGAAACCTCTCTGTGAGCTAGTTTAGTGAAGGTGATGCATCATAAATGCTGCTCATTGTGCCAATGTCTTACTCTTTTAAGTAAAAAATGTCTTAACCCCTTGACCATCCTGTGTATATAATAAGTTCTGTTGAATGGTCCTAACCCTGTGGGTACATGGTACATGCCATATTAACTTTGCTGAGTCTGACTTGGAAAAAAATTAAGTCTCTAGGCATCCTTGGGGCACAGCACTAAAATGGTTGAAGAGTTTTATGCCTGAATTCAACAGCAAACATAAGTAAAATAGATTTTATTTTTTAAAGAGAGCAAATAAGAGCCCTTGGAGTCGGATTTATTTCAGTGTTTTGTGCTGCTGGGCATTTACTGTAATTTTAACTTGTTCTGAATTAAGGAAGAAATGTGCTGAAATATCCCAGTCCCTAATTTTCAATTTCACGTAAACACTAAATGGGTTATTGCATTTTGAAAGCACTAAAGCAGATTGCAAAAAGGTTCCACATTTTTCTTTTTAAAATAAATTAAATCACTTTAATTGCTAATTGCATGTTGCAGTGCTGCTAAGTTGTCAGTTCTGCAGTGCATTTAAACTTAAGAATACAGTTTTAAGTGTACTTTCCCCTAAAATGAGAATTTCCCTTTCCAGTTGCATCTTAGAGATGCTTGGATGCAGTTTGTGAAGGGCCTAGCCCCTCTAAGGTGGGTGGGAGTTGTTGCAGATGCATAACAACTTAATTCTGAGCAGTTTTTTCTAATGGGACTGTTCATGTGAATAAAATGACTACTCTTCTTCAGAGGTGTACACCCTAATCAATTCCATTGGTACATTCTATGAGAATGATTACTGGGTTTTTATTTCAAGTACAACTGGGACCAAATTGAAACATGAATAAAGGAAGAAACAGTTGCAACAAGGCACATTTAGCCAAGTACCATGGAAACTACCTTGGTTATGGCAGTTGGCTCTTTCACACACCGTGCTGGAGTGAGGGCAATTCTAAATGACAGGTTTTGTAGGTTCATAAATCTGCCTTGTCTGGTATGGCACTTGGCTCCTCAAAACTTCCATTGAAAAACATGAAGTTGTTTTTTTTAAAAAAAGTTATCAGTATGTTTTCACTTGCTTTGCCAAAAATAACAAAAGATTTGAGCTATCACAGTGCTTCCAGCAACCTGAAAACAGCTATAAATGTATTGAGTGCATTCTTTTGCTTGAAATCTTACCTAACAGTGCAAGTCTTGTATTTATCAGACTCTTCAGTCCAATTCATGTTGCGTATGAAGAGTGGTCAAGCTTTGGAATAGGCTACTGTGGGATCTCCGTCCCTGGAAGTTTTCAAGAGCAGGTTAGAGACACAGTTGACTGGGATGGCTTAGTCAGGGGTCATGTACAGACACTCGCTTTTCTACTGGAAGAGCTGCTGCTCTTCCAGTGGAAACTGCAAATGCACAGGAGTTCAAGATTTTTTTCTCCTGGAGCAAAAATTGTGGTTCTGGGAGAAAAATAAGCCAACCCCAACCTAGTAGGAGCTGTTTCTGGAAGAGTTCCTTCTCAGAGACCAAACATTTGTACGCTTACCTTTCTGATAGAAGCCTCAAGGCAAGTCTGACATCCCAGTGTGCTTTGCTCCTGCCCCCTCCCCCATGGGTCCACAGAGACTCTGTCACTCAGGATACGCTCTACTGCTCCAGTCAAGCAGGGAGGAAAATGTGCTTCCTGAATGCTGTGGGACCCTTTACCATCCCCATGCTGTGTCCCATGGCTACAGGGAGACTCAGGCTGTTGAGGCATCTGTGACCCCTGCACATGATGCTGGGCAGTCTGTGTCTTCATCTGGTGCGACACACAGACCTTGCAGAGCTGTACCACCCTAGGTCCACTCTTGACAGACCGGGACCTGTTGGACCCACCCTTTTCCTTCTCTCCCCCCCCAAAGACTCGGTGCAGCTTGACCCTGACCCTGCCAAACCCAGAACCACCAAACCCTGCCCCACTCCCTGCCCCACACCCAGACCAGTTGACCATGCCCCTGCCATTCACAGAGCCCTCAAATGTTCAGACATCAGAGGGAGTGGAAATAGGCAAGTCCAGGTGCAGTGGGATGTGGACAAGGTACTTTAGGTACAGGAGATTGGAGGTGGTTGGTCTGAATCAGGAGGTAGACATAGACATAGAGTCCTGCCACTTTCCCTACGGAAAAGGGGGAAACGCACCCAAGGAGACCCTCACCCACTTGACCAGATCCAGAGCCACCCAATTAGACCCTAACCCTCCCTCCCCCATCCCCTTCTCTGCCACCACTGCAGCTGCAGTTATGCCAGACAGGGTTTTCCCCACCCAGATCCTCTGATGGTGTCCCAAGGAATCCTGTTTAAAGGCAAACCCCCAACATGGGGAAACTGAGGCACATCTCCATGCTGCCCACAACTCCTGGATCTGTGGGTTTCCCCTCTCCACCAGAGCTGCTGTTCAACCAGTCAGGGTTTTCCCCACCAAATCCTTCATGAAGCCTCAAGGAAAACAAAGTAAGTTCAGGAACAGGGTGCATCAGCCTGTGCATATGGGACGGATGGGCATTCATTGCAGACAGTTGGAATAGAAGTTGATATACCTGTTACTGACATGACATTTCTAGTCTTCTATCAGAACCTCACAGCTGTGAGAGGGCTGGAGGTGGGGATTATGGCTAGGAGTTCCCCAAGGGAGTGTGATCCCCTAGGGTGGCCAGCCAGTCAGCTCTGCCTTGTGCACTTGGTTGTTGTCTGCTGTCTTTTTGCAGCCATGGAATCCTTCAGAGCATGCTGGGATGGATGCGCAAGAGCCGTCTGCCTGGGTAGCATCAGGAGCACAAGCTCCCTATTCTGCACTGGCCTGGCTTCTCTAACCATTGTACAGTGCCTGCCCAGTAAGCTTTTGTACCAGGAAAACAAAACTGGGAGAATCTCTCAGATCATTTGAATGTTCATATACAGTCAGGGATGATCTTGCCTTGAGCAGGGGGCTGGGCTAGATATCCTCCTGTGGTCCCATCCAGCCACACTTCCTTATGTTCCTATATTGCTCTTTCTGCTCTCAATTTTTTTTTTTTTTCCCAGATCAAAAGTTAGGACCAAACCAAAAGCTCAGATCTGAACCTAAGTATCCAAAGGAGATCTGTTTCAGGCTCTCCTTTCTGAGCGTTGGGGCTTCCATCTATCTTTGTACTACTACGAAGAAAAAAAAACTATAAGGTTCCTCATCACCCTACCTGTATTTGATAACGGTGTGTAGGGTGTTGCTTCTGGGGTACACTAGTATTGTCTTTTAAAGTAGAACTGGGTTTCAGTAAATCTAGTCGATAATTCTGTGCCAGAGATTCAACTTAAAATATACCTAAGCATCTTTTTGGCAGAATTTATGAAGACCTCTGTGGATTAGCTATCACTTTCTTTTATCCAAAGTTTCCACAGAGGCAGTGTAGCAGACCTGGCAGTGTGAGGAGAAACGCATCCCACATGGCAGTCTATACTGAATGTCCTAGTAGTATTTTAAGGGATTAAGGATGGCAGGAAGGGCTGGTTATGATGTGCCCTCTGCTGGCTGGTACAAAGAACTACACAAAATATTTTTTCCATCAAAACCATTAGAGCAGGACTGCTTGAGGGACAACAGCAAAACTGTGAGAATGGCAACCAAAGTAAAACACCATACACTAAAATTAGTCTGCTTCAATTCTGTACAGCTGCTGCATCTCCTTGAACTGTATTTCACAAAAATTTCCTATGGGGTAGAATTTATATGTTGGTAGGAAAGTACATCTGAGAAACAGAAGGTGGGACTTGGTCCTGACCTTGATGGTTTTCATAGATGTAATTCTGAACTATGTCAAGTCCTGTTAAGCCTATTTAGGTATTCTCTCTGTCTCATTGAAGAATCATTACAAGTGACTGAACTGCATTAGTAGAGGTTGTTCTAAATAAGCCCTATTGCACGGTACTTAAAATATCTTAAATCATCACTCTAACTTTGTATGCTATGCAAAATTTCCTTTAATAAATATAAATCTTGGCTTTTCTTAAAGCATCTGATGAAAAACTAGTGAAACAAAAGTACCTTAAAACATATGCTAATAACTGCCTCACAAGACATCCTTGTTAGCAGCTTGTAAACTTGTCCCTCTTCTAGCAGGCACTTCTGATAGACATTTTTGGCAAGCGTATATTATATTTACCATCACTGTTTTCATTATTTCTTTCCAAAATATAGGAACCTGCACTGACAGATTTCATTTGGCTGAGAGTGCTGTTATCCAGGTTCTCAAGCTATTTGCTAAAGGTTTTTTTTCCCTCTACCACTTCTAATGTAGGTACGAGAGGAATGCAGACTCCTCAATGCTCCGCCTGTTCCACCACGAAGTACAAAGCCCTCATCCACAAGTCCGTCCATTCCTCCTCGTACGATCAAACCAGCACGGCAACAAACACGTTCACCAAGCCCGACTCTGTCCTACTATTCTTCAGGACTGCACAACATGTATGTCTAAGCTGTGGAATCTAAATCATAATGTGTTTGCTTTTTTATTTTATTTAATTTTTACATTTAACTAGTCTGTCAGCTTATTTAAAAAAGTTTAGTATACTGACTGTTCCTGCTATGGGTTAATTTATGCAAGTGGCTATTTTAAAATCTTCCAAAGAAGGCAAATTTGGGTAAGCAAATTTATTATTTAATGCATGGAAGTTACTATTTTCTGTAACATCTTGATTATACATAACACAAGATGGAAGTATAGAAGCTAACTTCAAGAGCATTTAACTCTAAAATAAAAACTTTTCGTAGTATAATACAACGGAAACATTAAAAACGTTAAATGCAGGATCACATACTGTTTCTCAGTAGTACCATTGGTCTCCCATAACTAAGTGACTATCTTGTAACTTCTATACAATGAATAAAGTATATTGTGACTTGAGGGAAAAAAGTTACTATTAGAATATTTAATATTTTTTTTGCCAATCACAGGAGATGTGTGGTCCATTTTTTTGTTTCTGGCAGTCGTCATCATAGGTGCTCCAGGGGAAGTTGTTTGCAGCCCTCAAGGAGGAAATTTCTGTAATAACCTGCTTATTGGTGAAGTTGTTTTCCTGGATTTCCCCATTTTTAGAGGTCTGCACATACCCTGAAGCATGAAGACTTAAAGACCTATAATAACTGAATGTCTGCCCTTAGCTAAACAAATGTCTATGGCTTTTCTGAAACTTGTCAGAACAAGGGCCTCAATTATGTCCTGTGGCATTGAGTTCCAGTGGGTTTACGCTATCATATGTGTGTAAGTTCTGAAAATGTTTACCTCATCATCTGTATACCTTCTGGTTTTGTTTTTCCTTTTTTTAAAGTTACAGAAGACTTTTTTGTTCTCGTATTGAGAGGGTATGACAGGAGCACCCAATTTTAATTTCTTTGTGCCATTTGTTGTTTCATACATCCCTGTGAGGTCTTCTCTTACTACCTTCCTCTCTGAATTAGACAGCCCTAAGGCCAGATTCTGTACACTGCTAAGATAACTTTGCATTGCATGATTAAGAAAATGCTTGGAAAGCAGATGGAGATGAGAATTTTTCCTGTTAAGAGTTATTCCTTTTGTCTTTGCTGTTATAAGCCTTCCTCCTGCACAAAATATGGTCCCCTATCTCTTAACTGTTTTCTTTGAATGCATCTGCACATTCAGTAGAAGTTTTTGAACTGTCACACAATGGTGTCCCAAGTTCCCATCCTGACTGCTTGCTAAATTACAAGTAAAAAAAAATGAGAATTCAAATAGTTCTTTCCATTGTGTTTGGTTTATCTCTTATACAAATACACTGTTTAAAAATATGTTTTTAATATTTGGCAGAATTCCTTTCCAGTTTTCTTAGGAATTATGAACCCATAAAGCTTTACTAGGATCACACCTCAATATCGCTTTTTTTTTATGATGGGTAAAGAATTTGACTTCCCCCCATATCATTGTAGCTGATTCTAATAGGAAGTTGCATGCTGCTGTTGGCAAGTTTCACTCCTTGGTTTTAAACTCATGCAGTGATTTTAGATGTTAACTGTCCAGTCTTGTTGGCTGACAGTAATTAGTTTTTATCACTGGGGACTAGTGCAGTGTGACCTGCCTTGGGTCCACTTGGAGGAAAAAAAAGACAGTTGCCTTCACAGCTTAATTTAACTGTAAATTTAAATGGGTGTTTTATATAATACCAAATTATCACTGTTCTTTTTCACTTGCTCTGTATTCTGCTTCATAAATGGCAGTGTACATTTCATTAAGTGCTCTTTGTGGCTCTCAAGTCATGAGCAGAGTAGTATCTTAGCAACTTTTAAATATAAGCCCTTTGGGGCAGGAATTCTCTCTTCCATGTTAGTGTAGCACACATTTAGTACAATGGGGACTGAAACTTGAATGGGGTCTTTGGGTGCTAGCATAAATATATTTATGGTTGATAAAAATGCACCGTTCTAGAAGAGTCTGCATCTTCAGGTAAGATTGCTCCTATACCCTGGTGTTATGAATAGGAAACTAGGTAGGGGAGAGAAAAATGGTTATGTGAGGAATAGCATGTAGTTTCCTGGTGAGGTTAGCATAACCAGGGCAACTTTTCAAAGATATTTTAAACATTGTGGGAAGTGCAGAGGGACAACAAGATTAACAGTGATAATAAATCAAGGTGACCTTTTTCAGTTCTTAATGTTCTCCCAGGTTTAGTTTGGAACACCCAGCCCCTGATTAAGTATACATGTTGTTCAAGCACTAGCAGTTCTTTGCTTTAGCTACCTTTCACTCACTCTTTTTTTATTATTTTTTAAAGCAGCGTAACAGAAAGTGACCCAACAGATCCAACCGAGAGTGCCCCTGTCTCTTGTTACCCTTGTAATGTGGTGACAACAGAATCAAAAGAGCCTGACAGCAAGATGCCTTTTGGAAGCCCCTCAGCTGAAGCTCTGTCTTGTAGGTTATCCTGGCCAAATCATTTTTCTGGAACTTCTGAAGGCCTAAATAGGAATGACTTCCTGCTGGATCCAAGCAGAAGTTATAGTTATCCAAGACAGAAGACACCGGGCACACCAAAGAGAAACAGTCCAGCACCTTTTACTTTTGACTTTGATGGGTGTGAAATCCCTGCTGGGTACTCGCAGCTGGCCCCAGCTGAGTTCAGTAATGCCATCTCCAGTTGTCCAAAGTCTGCAAGTTACTCTTTAGAATGCACTGATGAGAAAACTCTGGCAGTCAGCGATACAAAGCAGAGCCATTCATGCCCTGCCTTACCTCCTCGTGCACCGAAAATGAATGATGAGAAGCCAGCTGTAGACCTATGCCCTTTGCCTCTAAAAATAGATGGTGCTGAAGAAGAATCTCATACTGGATCACCAGACCTGTCAGAAGATCAGTACCTTGTTAAAAAGGGCATGCAGGATGCTTTCTCTATTTCTTACCCTTTTTCATCTCCGCTTCACTTTCAGTTAGCACCAAGGTCTTGTGGCGACGGCTCTCCCTGGCAGCCACCTACAGACCTTTCTGGACTCTCGATAGAGGAAGTATCTAAATCTCTGAGGTTCATTGGTTTATCAGAAGACGTCATATCTTTCTTTGTTACGGAGAAGATTGATGGCAATTTACTTGTCCAGCTTACAGAAGAAATTCTTTCAGAAGACTTTAAGCTAAGCAAATTGCAGGTTAAGAAAATACTGCAGTTCATTAATGGCTGGCGGCCTAAAATGTAGTCCAGTGATGCTGACTGGTGTTTAATGAAACTGTATGCGGTACGTGCTAAGAGCACTGGGGCTAGTACGTCATTTCCTGTTTCTTGCACTAAAAGCCCTTCCTGTAAATAGTAGTAGTAGAAGAAATTTACTATGCAGATAAAATTTTGAGTGGTGAACAGATTCTTTTATATGTCAATACAAAATGTAGAGAACCTTATAGAAGTGTGCCTTGTGCATCACTGAACATTCAGCAGCTGCTAAAAACTGGACGTTAAGGGAATTTTTACTCCTTGTAGTCTGTCAAGATGTAGTATTTATTGCTGAATAATCAATGCTGAAAGACACACAAATCCAGTTTACAATTTTATGTTAACAGCAAAAAATAATGCATTTCTTTTGGGCTTATTTTTTTCAAATAGTAATTGGCAACATGCTATGACTTCTTTTAATATCTGTTTTTCACTAAAGGATGCATTCAAATCTAAAATCGTCTTTTTCAATAATGTAGCAGAAAACATTAGAGCTAAACAAATGCTTTGAAGTGAGGCTCAGACAGTATGTTCTTCAAGATACTTTTACAAAAGTCTACCTGTAAAGTACTCATGGATAAACTTACTGTGTTGTTGCACCTGAACAAAACTCTTTTAATATTAAAAAATATAAGTCATTATCCCTGATGATAACATTTTGTCCTTTTCTGGTTGTCTGTAGGGAAAAATCATTCCTACCGAACCAATCTGCCATTTCCATGTCTCGATTAGAAGTTCACAATCTGTAGATTTCAAAAGTGGCTTTGTTGTCAGATCAGTGAAATAGTAACATGACTGCCAGCCTTCACGGGAAGGGCATCAAATAGCATGTTTCCTTTAGTAGATCCCAACAATGCAACAGTGGGGTCTTCTACTAATTGAGGGCCATTTTGCTGGCCCTTTTCTGCCAGAAAGAAAACCAGTTTTCTTGCTGCTGTTATAAGATGAAAATACTGATTTCATGAGCTACACTTTATGCTGCAGTCAGCTATATAGGCAAATCCTTGCAACTATGCAGAGTCCCATTGAACTAAAACATTGCTGAGGTGGAAGGGAAAAGCAAAAGCACTTGAACTTCCCATGAAAGGCTGAGAGAGGACTTTAAATACCCTGAGTGAAATTGTATGCCACATTTTCAAGGCTTAGTTAGCACATACTTGGTTCTGCCAGCCTAACTCAAGTTCTGACGGCAAAACTCTGCATGCGTCTGCCCTTAGAGCAACTTTGTGGTGGCAGCATCCCATTTCTGACTGCAGCTGCACCACCTTGCCCAAACTAAACAGGGGTTCTGCTGCCACTGGCAGACAGCAGAAGATTCATCTGGACAACCCCATGCCTTCTGCCCACTGCAGCAATCCCATGAGCAGCTGGTACCCTCCTAGAAAGCACTGCACGCTGTAGAGGCACAGCTGCTGCAGGAGTCGGGCAGAGTGACCAGAAGCACATTGGGCATATGCGCGTTCTGGGGTAGATTTGTGATGCCAGCTGCCCTCTTTCCTTAGAACTACTGCTAGCACAACCAAGTGCGCATGGACAAGGCCTGCGAGACGCAGCATGGAACGACTGGTCCAAGTGCTAGCACAGGGGAAAGAGTGGTGACTTCTAGCTGCCTTTTGAGCCTCCTTAGTCCTGCATACCTTGGGGAGCCAGCCTCCCTGTGCACCTGGAGAATTCTCCCCTGGTCAGAACCGGACCTCTTAGAGCCCTTTTTATACTTCTGTGGTACTTTTACCTGGTTTCTGGAGGCCTGAGTAGGGATGCAAGTGTCTCTACTATGTTTTCATCTTTTTCATAGATAGAAAATGTAAGAAGCATGGTAGAAGCAACAAGAGTAAGCAGGAGGGTACACCAGGGTTTGAGAAACTGATGGAGCAGGTCTTCTCAACTGCAGAACTGCATTGAGGGGATGTTGCTTCTGGCGACCTGTACAAATCTCATGTCATGCCTTATTCAAAGTCCAGTTTTACTATTTGTATTGCAGTAGCACCTTCAAGACCCTATTGGACATCCATCTATCCCTTCCCACCCCTCCACCCCATGTCCCCTCTTCCCAAAGAAAACCAAATCAAAACTCCCTGCCTCAGAGTCTGTTGTTTCTTGCCAAATGCTAAGATTAGACTGATGCAACAAATCAATAACTATCCTTGACTTCTGCTATTTTTATAATGAGGGGTTTCAAAACATACCCTCTGAATCAATTTTCTAAGTGCAAGTAGGATTGAATGAATAAATAAAAACTAAGTGAATTAATTTTGGGTACCATTCAGAGCTAAGCACTATTGTGTCCATAGGCACATGCAGAGTGTAATTGCTGCTTATTAAACCTAACTAAATCCAGCTGTCACTCAGCGAAGGAAGGTCCAAGCTTTTTACATTTAAAATGAAGGGTACCTACTTTTGTTTGTTTCGCTTGTTAATGTTAAAAAATGTTTCATCTCCAAAAGAGGGTGGTTGTCTTAATAATGGTAAATGCCTCAGAACATTACAGGTTATGTCTCCATGTTTATCATCCCAGGCAGTGCCGTGCTAATTTGGCTGTACTGCTTCTAGTACCCAAGACAGCTCTATCTCTGTACGGTACTGCATTGTGCTGTGTAGCCATATCCTAAAACATCTGTGGGAAACTGGCAGCTTTGATTTGTAGTTGGCTGCATACTGTTTGCCTGCTTTTGTTATAGACAACATTTAATGGATTTTGAAAACAAGGAGTCTAAGGGCCTTATTGCACCTCATGCTGTGAGCTGCATAAATGTTGAGCAGTGTTAATTGTAGCTTGATGTTTGGAGCAGTTGCACCCTTAGTCTAGAAACCTTCTCTGACTGTGTCCTTCCCCTTCACAGCTGTGACACGCTGTTAGAGGTTTGGTCAGCAGGGGCAGGCCTAGGAGCTGCAGTAGTGAGTGGCCAATACAGTGCTGGTGAGCCAGGATGGGCTTCTATCCCTGCTGCATGGGTGGGGAGATCCTGGGATACTGCAGGGTTGAGAGATCCCAGGGTACTGCAGGACTTCACCTTGGGTGGCGCGTCTGTGGGGAGTGGCCACACCTTAATGGAACAGGAGCTGGGTAATGTGGATCAAAGATAATCCTGGCCTAGAGTGCTGTAAATTTGAGCCGCATAACAAGTGCTTAAAACCAATTTAAGGTGTTAATGTGCAGACTGTCCAAGGGTTAAGAGCTCCAGGAGCCATCCAGAATTACCATGTAACAAGCCCCTAACTCCCTGTTAACACCATACCTCTACAATGCCTACCTAGACAAAAAAAGGGCTTCCAGAAGGACAGAAGAATATGCGTCTGTTTTTGGATCAGGTCCCATAGCACATAGCCACAGCTGAAACGTCTAATGGAAGACCAATCAGACTTATTTCTGCTTCCCTTCAAATGTTTTGTTCCGTCATAGCGTTGCTTATACATTTTTAGGCATAGTAAGCTAGCATACCACATGTCCCTCACCCTTTCCCAAAAATAGTTCACAGGCTTCATTTCACAAGCTGCTTTTGAGAGGGATTTGTGTGTCCTTGAATTCCTGTTTATAGTGACTTGTTTTTGTTGTTTTCCTCCAACCAGAACAGCTTAAGAAAGATGCCAATTTGGCCCACAGGCCCAGTTTTTTAAAAAGTGCTCGGTCCTACGTTCTCAGTCATTTTTAGATACTTAGAGTTCACCACCTAATTACCTTTGAGAATCTAGGCCTACAATCTTGCAGCCCTGAGTGGAGTAAGCAGCTTAGTCAAATATGTCTTATTGTAAGTTAGTAGGATTTGAGAGTCTAATTTGCTTTTGAAAACTGGACTTGCCCATTTAAGTGACGTAAACTGTATCAAAGCACTGCCTAAATAGCTTTAAAAATCTGGGTGCAGAAATTTAAATCTATAGTTATAAAGTGCCATGCTAATGCATGTCAGCTACAGCATTAAAGTTATCTGAATATTCCCACCAATTTGAAAATGTCTCAGTCTGAAAGTTTTGGACAGATTCTCTGATGTCCTTAGCACCTCCTGTGAAGGTGCTGGGAGTCCTCAATTCTGTGTTAGTCAATGGGAGGTGATGACATCACTTTGTGAGATTTGAGAGAGAGATTTCTAATTTAGTTGGTGTATAAGATGCAAATACCCTGCTTTCTGCCATTTTCAGACTAACACAGCTACCTACCTCTCCATGTAATTATCACCTGGAGTAAATTTATAACAAGTGTTGACTCTGACTACTACTCTTATGTTTAAGAGAGAGTCTACAACTTGGCTGTGAGATTCTTTAATTGTAATTGTATTTTAAGTCTGTCTCTAAACCATTTTGTATCTAAGCGTATTTGCAAGCTAAGGCTTTCTGGTGTCTTATTCTGTTTAGTCTTAGAGATGTAGTCAAAATATACATCAGTCAGGGTACAAGCAAATTCACAAATTCTTTATGGAAAAGTGCACCTTATTCTGTCGTTTCAGATTTTATTGTGCTCTTTCGTGTAGCTTTGAACTTGCTGGGTTTTTTAATAGCTGAAATCAGGCCCATAAGGTTCATTTAATGATTTGGTATCTTATGCTCTTTTTAAAAGAGCCAGTTCTGGAATGTTAACAAGATGCCATCCACGGCTGTGTACTTTCTGAAACAAGAGCTTTCTGTTCTTTCTATGCAACACAGTGGCATGTGTACTAATAGTCCCTTTTACCTTTTGAAAAGTATAGAGGCTTTTATGGGGCAGCAACAATACTCCTGAGGGGGAAGAACAAGAAGAAATATTTAGGAGAAACAAAGGTCAATTTTTAAGTACCCATATTGTGCCTATAATTAAGATTCTTCTATATTACTATTACTACCTTTGTGACTAACCAAAGTCTTACTGAAATCAGTTATTGTATATCTTGCTATCTTTTTTTTCTTTACTTTTGCTGTATTAAAAGTAGGTTATACTTGAAACTTAGGCAAAACACACTTGATCCATCCAGTAGAAGCAAAAAAAATGCGTATGGTTTGCAGCTAGAACTGGATGAAAGCAGCTTTGTATCTTTTATGTGGTTATTCGGTGCCACCATCTTACCACATTAATTGACTTGGTTTTACAATAGCTTCAAGAGAAGCTGTGTGTAAGTAGCTGCAACATTGTAAAAACACTTAATTTCAAGTCCCTCTCCTTTTAATTTTTTTTATAAAGTACTTGATATGCTTTCTGCTGCATCTTCCTCTTGAGACATCTACTTAGCTGTTTCCCTGCTAAATACATTTTAATACAAGTTGCTTAGGTCTTTATCACTGGAAGTGAGCTAAGGTGTGTACAGAAGGGAAGATGATGTGGTGGTTGAAGACATGTCTGTGTAGAATGGAGAGTAAACATAGCGAGTCTAGGGGACCAGATGTGGTGTACTCTACACTGATCAAAAAGGATGCACTGGAAAACAGCTACTAGCCCCCCAGGGCTAACAGGCATAGGATGGGGCAAGATCTTGCCAAAATTGAGCTCACCCAGTTACATTCTTTGGATGCAATTAGCATTTGAAGTCCTCAGCTTTCCAGCTAGATGGTATTGGTACAGTATTAGCCAAAATAAATAGGTTACCTGTGTTGTCACAAGGTATTTGAAATACTGGGTAACGAATGAGTGCAAGTACATTGCTGTAGCCTTGGGAAAAGCACCTTTCTAGCGAGGATGTCTTCAACTTCTGGTAGTCCAGGAGTTGTTTAAGTCTGACCATCTATATTCATAATGATCAGACTGTCATATGTTAAAATTTCTGGTATGATTCTGATTCTTCTTGACTTGGGTAATCTTCCACTGAGTTGTTGTATAAAATAACTATGTTTAGCTGTTTAAATTACATTTTTCATCTACGCAAAGTGAACATTTGAAAGCAACACAAAAACCCAAAATCCTTGACTTAGTATATTTCCGTTATAAATTGAGGTGTATTTTTGTGGAATTGTGCTGTTTTGGGCTTCTCTGGAAAAGGCTGAAGGTAGATTATTTAAATCCAGGTGCAAATAAATATCCCTGTAATGTATATGAACAAATTTAAACTGTATTGTAAGTATATAAACTGTACATTAAAGATATTATTTTCATGATACTTCAAATGTGTCCAGAGTTTGACGTAAATGTTGGGTCACATATATAACAAAATGTCTGGGAACATGGAGAGACTGACACCTTTGCTTGCACCAGTATAAATTGAGGGTAAACATCACTGAAATAGCAGGATGATGGTGTAAAATGAGTGAATGTAATGAAAAAGAGTGATCAAGCCCATACATTTAACGTTACTATAAATGTTACTAGTGTTATCTACATGTATAGGAATACTGGGACCAGGATCCAGGATTTCCACACAAGAATTTGTCCTTCCCCCACCTTCCATTGTCCAGTGGAAACTTATTCAAAACATTAAAGAGCATATAGCTGGAAACTTATCACACCTCTAGAGACAATGTATTCAATGAATGCTTTCCTAAAAATCAAGAAAAGAGATTTGGCCTGTGTATGTGAAGCATGCATCTGGTTTCAATCATCATCACCCTTTAAGTATTCCTAAAGAAGTTTCCTACTCTTTCTAAGAAAAGATGCATTTTCTGGGCACTGGGATGGATTGGAGGGAGCAGAGGCAGTTGTGTTACAAATAGTAAAGAAAGCCTGGCTTTCTTACATGCATACCAGCCTCTGGCTTCTTTACTATTCCTTCCATCCAGGAAGAACACACACCAACTGCAGATGCTTGATCAGCCTGACAAAGGGTATTTAAACCCGAAAGCTTGCTAAGAAGAATTTTTGCAACTATTTGAGTTGGTCTAATAAAAGATACCAGATTTACCCAAAGAACCTTGTCTGTCTATGTCCTTAGACCAGGGGTGGGCAAAGTGAGGCCCGCGGGCCAAATGCAGCCCACCAGGACATTCTGTCCGGCCCACGGAGCCCCTAAAAAATTTAGAAAATTAATATTAATCTGCCCCTGGCTACCTGTCATGCGTCCCTCAATGGCTTGCCAAAACTCAGTAAGGAGCCCTCTGCCCAAAATAATTGCCTGGCCCTTCCTTAGACCAGCATGGCTACAACCTACACCCCTGTCCCTTGTCAAAGACCTGTGATAGGAGCAGGGAGAATAAGTTGCAAGGAAATGTAGAAGTTATTTTTTATTAGCACTATAAGGAAATTTGGCAGACAACCCCAGAATTATTATGACAATAGTGAAACCAACATAGGGCTGTTGTATGTCTTATTTTTGAGGTGGATGGTGGTTGATTGTTGTAGTACCAAGACATTCCACACAGTGTCAGACTTGCATACAGCTGAGGAAAGATAAAATGTCCTTTATAAATTGCTCAAATAAATATTTGGGGTCATGACCATCATTAAGACTCAATCACTAACCAGCAGTCTTTGTCAGTCTTGTAGAGGCTCTATTATGATCAGTGTCTATTTAATCATACTTACGCTATGTCATTCCATAAGCTGTTATTTTCCATGTGTATGAGCCAGCTCTACTAAACTAAGGTTTCAGTTTATTTGTTCAAAGGGGAAGATGGAGTTGAAGGAATAAAACTAGAAGACCTACAAAGATATTGCTCCCAGAAGACTATACTTCCTTACAATTATAGCTTGGCTGATCCTGTTGACTGAAACACTTGCAGAGCAGTAAGAGAAATGGATGGCTGCAAAGGATTTTCAGACAAACCTCAGTGTTGGTATTGGATTGAGTCACGTGGGTTTACAATTATGTGTTTACCAGGCCCTTCTTGCTGGGAAACCAAACATGTCGGTAACCACCTTCAGGACAGACTTTCAGGACCAAGGACTTGATCCTTCAGAAAGATAGCATTGATCATAATGGACTAGTACCTGGTCTTTAGGTATCTCTACTACAGTCAGTCCAATTACATTAGGGATAAGCCTGGCTCAATGCTCTGTTAGCTCTGCACAAGAACAGATCTAAGATTTCAAAAAGAGGGAGGCAGGTGATGTGACTGACGCCACAGGGGTGGTTGCAGCTGTCCCCTTACCCTCACGAGTGAATTGCATTAGTGCAGCAACTGCCAGTGACTTCTTTTGAGTGCCCAAAGCAGGTATGATTCCCTTGTAGAAGTTTGTATTCATAACTAAATCAGAACTTCTTCTCTGATGATTCTCTCTCTAATGGCCAAGCTAATTCTCAAATGTTCAAATCCAATATTGGCACAGAATACAAAGTGGTCTTAGAATAAAAAATAATAGATTTAAATCATGACAACTATTAAAGCAATTTAGATAAAGTCTTGGTAGCACAGTGAAAAGGTTTCTGCTTATCTATGTTGCTAACAGAAGGTAGGACACATTCCATGGACAGCTGTATCAAAATTCAATCTAGAAATCTGGATCATGCAAACAACCCTGTTCTAGCTGGTGTATGAGAGCTGTGACATTTTAGTCACTTCCTAGTTCCTGTCTATGCTGGCCTACTGCTCTAAGGACCCATGCATTCTCCTACAAGGAATATTTGATTATTAATACTATGGCACTTTTGGCAATTTTTGGCAGCTGTGTGTCTGTAAATAAGTGAATTAATGTTACAAAATGTTATTTGGCAGTGCTCACAAATATAAATGTGGTTTATTGTCAAAGGGTTGTGTTCCCAAATGAGCATGCTCCAACCAGAAGCTTCCTACCCTTCATACAAGGGTTTCCAGCCAACTGTTGATACCCTTCTAGCTCCCAAGCAGTAGTAACCATGGCAGAATATCCTCTCATCTAATACCATTGCTCTATTAGTCTCCATAACTTAAATGTCTATCTTGCTTGTTTCCTTCCTATCCCTGTAGCAATGGGAAAACTTCTAGGAGATATAGGAGTGTCTCCTGTCCCTTGAAGTCTTAATAATGGATCATACAGCTTTTGGGGAAGAACTAGAAGACCCCTTTCCTCCTCAAGCTCTTCTAAAAACTTACTGAGATCAGACAATCCTTGAGTTTCTATGAGGAACCTGATTACAAATATTCCCATCATATTATCCTCAAGGCAACTAAATGCCTGAGATTTTTTTTTCCCCCCACCATGAGTTTTATCATGGCTAGAGATCAGCACAGGACTCAGGAAGCCACATTTTCCACTCCTATCAGTGGGATTTCTGGTTACCACAGTGGCTGGTCAATACCATGCCTAAATTGCCTTTGATCTCAAAGTGCTCAACTGACAGCAAAGGCGGCAAAAACCCCCAGATGTCTGCAAGTGTGGGCTTGTCCATTGTGTACTCGTATATGTTTGGATTGGTTTTCACAAGAATGCTGGAATCTCTTGGTAGAGAGGGGATGGAGGAGGAACTCTTTAAAGATTTTAGGGCATAAAGTGGATTTCTAGTTTTTGAAGCAGGGTCACCTGTGGGGCCCCTTGGTATTGTCAGTTTTCTCCTTAAATAACTTATGTGGTATTTATATACAAACTTTCAACTAATCAAAGCATATCTTAAGTCAGTCATTAACACACTATGCCTGACCTTTTAATCAACTTCTCTTTTAAAATATGTTGTAAAAAAAAAAAATAGCGTGTCGCAATAAGTGCGGTACAAGAACATAAGAGTTCAACTTTGCTTTTCTAGCCAAGCTCTGCACTAACACCAATCTTATTGTTCATCAGGAAAATACCAGCAAACCCTCATTGCTGCTTATTTATGTACTTATTCACCAAATATCTGTTTTGCTACCTTTTCAGAGGGGCATGCAAGTACAGTCAGTACAATTATTCTTTATCTCAGAAGCATGGGCCAGGTGCCCAGGCTACCTAGGTCCAGAGGAAGTTACAAGAGCATTGGATTGAATTCTGTTCCTTATTTCTGCCACTGACTTCCAGATTTACTTTGGATAATCCTCTTAATTTCGACATGTTGCCTCTCAATCTTTGCTTGCCTTGTCTGTTAAGATCACATATTCATTGGGGCAGACTGCAGATCTCACTTTGTATTTGTGTAGTGTCCAGTGTAAAGAGATGCCAAGCTTCGTCAAACGTGCTTGGGTTTAAACTGAACACAAATAATAACCATATATGACTCTAGTGTCTGAAAGACTTTAAAACATGTTTAAGCTTTTCCCAAATTGTTTTCTGGCTCTGTTATGTTTTGCCAGCTACATAGCATCCCTATGTCAAGCTGCTTCTCTTGAGAGAACCTTACTGGGATGTGGAGACATCTGCTGGAAGCAAGGTGAATAGTAGTTTTTTGGTTTTTGTTGGGGGGG